AAATCCCCTCAGGGACCCCAAAATCTCCTCAGGGACCCCCAAATCCCCTCAGGGACCCCAAAATCTCCTCAGGGACCCCCAAATCCCCTCAGGGACCCCAAAATCTCCTCAGGGACCCCCAAATCCCCTCAGGGACCCCAAAATCTCCTCAGGGACCCCAAAATCCCCTCAGGGACCCCAAAATCTCCTCAGGGACCCCCAAATCCCCTCAGGGACCCCAAAATCCCCCAAATCCCCCCTCACCCCCCCGTTGCCATGGAAACGGGGCGGTGCCCGGTGCCCGCAGTGGGCGTGGCCGGGGTGTGGCCAACACAGGCGGAGCCGCAGTGGGCGGAGCCACCAGCCAATGGCAAACACGAGAGGGGCGTGGCTTAATTATCATTGACCAATAGGGAGAGATGTGGGCGTGGCTTGTAACCGGAAGCGGCGGCACTTGGGGCGTGGCCAGGGCGTGGCGGGAAGCGGGAGGTGCCGGCCTTGGGTAAGAGCGCGGGAGCCCCAAAAAGACCCAAAATTACCCCAAAAATCGACCTCAAAATCCCAAAATTCACCTTTAACCCCCCGGGGTCGCATTCGGGACGTGAGGGAATCCCCCAAAATCCCTCCGGGGTATCTAAAATCCACCAAAATTACCTCAGAAACTCCTCCGGGAGCCCGAAAATTCTCTCGGCAATCCCAGAATTTGTCCCGAAATCTCCTCGGGATTCCCCAAAATCCACTCGGGAACCCCTAAAATTCCCAAAAATCGTCTTTAAATCTTCCCAGATCCCCCCAAAACCCTCTCGGGACCCCGAAATTATTAAAAAAACCCCAAAATTTCCCCCCAAACCCCACCCGGGACCCCCCCAAATCCTCCCCGACTCCTCCAATTCCCCCCAAAAATTCCCAAAAAATCCCCAAAATTCCCAAAAAATCCCCAAAATTCCCTAAAAATCCCCTCAGGGATCTCCCAAATTATTCCAGGACCCCAAAAATTCCTGGCTGGGAGCCGAAACTCTCCGGGAATTTTTGGGGTCGGGAATTTTTGGGGATTTTTAGGGAATTTTGGGGATTTTTGGGGAATTTTGGAGATTTTTTGGGAATTTTTGGGGTCGGGAATTTTTGGGATTCGGAAATTTCGGGATCGGGAATTTTCCGGATCGTGAATTTTTGGGGATTTTTAGGGAGTTTTTGGGGATTTTTAGGGAATTTTGGGGATTTTTAGGGAGTTTTTGGGGATTTTTAGGGAATTTTGGGGATTTTTAGGGAATTTT